TGGAACGGGATCGGGGCTCCTGGAATGGGATCAGGGCTCCCAAAGGTGGGATTGGGGCTCCTGGAATAGGATTGAGGCTCCTGGAACGGGATTGGGGCTCCCAAAGGTGGGATTGGGGCTCCTGGAATGGGATTGGGGCTCCCAAATTGGGATTGGGGCTCCTGGAACGGGATCGGGGCTCCTGGAATGGGATCAGGGCTCCCAAAGGTGGGATTGGGGCTCCTGGAATGGGATTGGGGCTCCCAAAGGTGGGATTGGGGCTCCCGGAATGGGATTGGGGCTCCTGGAACGGGATTGGGCATCCCAAATTGGGACTGGGGCTCCTGGAATGGGATTGGGGCTCCCAAAGGTGGGATTGGGGCTCCCGGAATGGGATTGGGGCTCCCAAAGGTGGGATGGGCCGGGGGTGGCGCCCGCGGGAGCGGATGGTGCCGGCGGATCCGCTCGGCCCTTCCCGACGTTCCCGGCGTTCCCGGGCCCCGCGGGAGGCCCGTCCCGCCGTCCGTCGCCGCGGGATGTTTTCCAGCCCTTGGGAAGCACCTGGATTCCCTAGACAGGGATCAGCGCTGGGATCCGCTCCGCCGGCCCCTCACCTCGCCGCAGGGAATGGGAAAACCCATCCCGCGTCTCCACGGGCCCTGAAAGGACCAGCCCCAAATCCGCATGTTTTTTAAGGAAAATGACACTTGGGACTGCGATTCCCGTGTCCATCTCCGTCCTTTCATCGCCGGGAGCCCCGGAACATCGCCGGGAGCCCCGCTGCGGAAAGGAGCCTGACTGGAAAGGGAGCGTCCCGGGACACAAATATCTAGCATCGGGAGGATTCCCGATGTTCCCACGGGGAGAAGCCGGGGAAGGCGGATCGGGGGCCTTAAAGGGAGCCCCGGGCATTAGGGACGCGGAGCTCGTCCGCGCGCCGGGCGGGCGGCCAAGGCTCCGGAGCAGCTGGCGGCTCCATGGCGAGCGCGGCGGGACGCGGCTCAAAAACAAGGAAACACCAAAAACAGCCGGGATGGGGGAGAAAACGGGATGGGAAGGGGGGGCGGCTCCCAACGGGGGGATCGCGGATCCCAACGGGGCGATCGCGGCTCCTAACGGGGGGATCGTGGATCCCAGCGGGGGATCGCGGATTCCAACGGGGGGATCGCGGCTCCTTACGGGGGGATCGTGGCTCCTAACGGGCGATCGCGGCTCCTAACGGGGGGATTGCGGCTCCTAACGGGGGATCGCGGCTCCTTACGGGGGGGATCGCGGCTCCTTACGGGGGATCGCGGCTCCTAACGGGCGATCGCGGCTCCTAACGGGCGATCGCGGCCGCCAACGCCGGAACCGCCTCACGGAGCGACGCGCCCGGC